GTATGGCTGTGTGGCGGGGATCGAGAAGCTTCCCATCATGGAGGAAATTTTAAGTATATCCGTCACATAGTCGAGTTTATATTACTAATTCAATCATGTGATAATGGTATATCCATTCATTAATACTACACCTTAAGTCTATTGTATAATAATCTCGTAGTACACATTACAACACATGACAATGTGACCGTCAAACCTTCGCGTTGTATCTCTATTTTTTTTTCCATCAATATTTGATAGAATTTGTAAAAATTATATGGACTATATTCATATATACATCTTTAGCGTACCGAAATATTTTGTAAAAATTATAGACCCATTTTATAGATGGGTTCTATTTGTACTAGAATGAAATATTTTCTGGTGAGTGAGCTTAGCTCACTCCCCATATAAAACTACTTCCCGGACACAAGAGTACAACAAAAAAAGGCCTAGAAAAATGTTGGAAATGTAGACTGATGGGGGACTTGTTGTCAACGGGGATGTTTGCCAGGTAATGAAGGAACCCTTCCAATTGCTGACGGTTGTTCTATTCTGTGTCTGCTCCATACCCTTTTCTGCATTTTTGCCTTGAGCCACCTTCTTGTCTTGGCTAGAATTTGTTACAGAGATCTGCTTCTGGGGCAAATCAGCAGCAGTTCCACGATATGCAGGTTGTTTGGGCTGCGAAAGGAAACCAAACTGAATTGAGGAAAAAGCCTCTACAAAGCTTCAATATAAGAACATATATCTAGCTTAGAGAGAGAGAGAGAGAGAGAGAGAGAGAAAGAAGCCTTTCTTCATGTTCTCTGTCCTGGAGTTTTGGTTCTCTCACCTTTGCTGGTGGATATGTTCTTCGGCGTGTTTTTTCCTTTGTATAATATTCGTCAGCGGAAGTATCAATGATGGGACCTGATAGGTGTCGTGGTCCTTGTGCTCCTTGAGATGCATCAGACTTTAATTGAACTCGATCAGTCTCAGGTTTAGGTGCTACATTGACAGAAGAAGCAGCCTGTGGGGAGATCTGGTTACGAAATATGCCACCTGTATCTCGGCTGGGCTGGCTCGAACCATAGAATACTCCTCTATCCATTTCTGTCTGAAACAAAAATATGTCCACAAATATGAGCAAGTTATTTCTTTTTTTATGTAATACACTCAGTGATATGACACCATTGTTATTGTTCATAAACAAACACCATCAATAGATTCTGGAACCAATTCTTTTCTATATTTTTCTATGAGCTGAGACTGAATTATGACTTACAGTTGGCTCTCTGTTTATTGCATGACAATTTTTTTTACCACAATGGTAAGATAACAACACCTTATAACTGATCCCTCCTAATCCCCCAACATGGAAAGTCATTCACCCCTACCTTCACTTTCTCCTTCAATATACCTTAAATTTACTCACTTATCCAAGCCAATCAAATACTAGTTACGAAACATGACCTTAAGTTATTGACAGATGAATTAGTCCGACTCAAGATTAGAGTATTGCAGTAAATACTTCTGCCTAAAGGTGTGTGTCCTTATATATGGTTTTGACACTGGACAATTAGCAAAATTTTCCTTATGGTTTTGGTAAATCTAGTGATTTTGCTCGCTTAGTGATAAGTCCATAAATTTACATATTTATGTACTCTTTATACTTAGTTTTTATAGGAGAATTTGATTTAAAAAGGATTTATTACTTTATTTTCTCAATTTTCAGCTTTCTGGAGCAAGTTATTGGTTTCCAAAGGAAACACGACTTTTTGGTGGAGTTTTAGTACGATATCAGTTGGAGATGAAAGCTAAGATCTTGAAGATGATTGTGGAATTTTTCTAGAATTTTTGGAGCAGCCAATGAGAGCAGTCTTTGAAGTTAAGTCAGCATAATGTGCAATCCCGTCAAAACTGTGCTTCTATGAAAGAATGACTATTTGAAGACTTTCCTGATTTTTCCTCAAGGCGGACAATATATGGCTGGAAAGATCAGACAAAAACCTACAATTTACATATTTTTCCCAAATTTTCTTGGAGGAGGAACAATCCCAAACGTGCGTGCAAAGTAACTGACGTGTTATCCTAGTCCAAGTAGGAAGAGGAGTCAATTACTTACCTATTTGAGATTTATGTTTTAATTAGGTTTTTCTTAGGGGGGACACACAAAGACTATGAGAAATTGGAGACGCCGGAAGAGTATCGCAATTGGCTAAGTTTGATTGTTTCTTCCTTATGTTTTTTGTTTATGTCGAATTCTATGATTATGTGTAACTAATTTTCTTTTGCTAGGGCATGATGTAGCCCTAGTATGATAATATAGTTTTCTTATTTTACCTATCTATTGATTGTTGTTTGATGTTGGATTCTTAATCACTGTGCTTAATAACTTGGTTGATTATCTTGATGCTTGATCACCATCTAGACTTTTAATTGAGTTAATCGGATGTAAATTAGAGTAAATACCAAACTTAATTTGAGGCTTGCTTCTTGTGATTAGGATTTGTAATTCGTCTGGGGTAAATACCATACTCCTATGGTTTACATGCTTGTTAGAGGTTTTAACTGATGTTAATGAGTTTCTATGTGTTGATATTTGACCTAAATACCATAGGCGAATTGCATGTAAGAATATACGAGTTAGCCTAAATATCATAGGTAATTCATGAAAAAGGAAAACTAAGCGGCGACATCAAATGGTTAGTTAATAGGTAGGTGAATAAGAGGCTAGATCGAATTACTAGTGGTGAATTTATTATCCTAGTGCTTTTATCAATTTGAATTTCTCATCCTTGTGTTTTGTGACTTTCTACTTGTTTTGTCTTTTAATTTCATTGTTAATTAAATCATTCTTTCAAAAACCCCTTTTGTGTTTACGTGAGTATGCTACGTGTTTAATTTCTTGTTTATATAATTAGAGTAGTTAAAGTATTTTGTGAAGTAAATTAGGTTGGACTAATTGGAAGTTGAACTCAATCCTCGTGGGAATGACCTTGTATTTGCCATACTATATTACGATTGACTTTGTGCACTTGCAAGTATAATTTGTGTTTAGACTAATCTTTATAATCTCCATTTTTCAAGTTGTCTAAAATTCACAACACTTGATAAATTATAAAAGAAGCCCCTATATCTTGATTATGTCAGCAGTTAAACTCACACCACAAAACGCAGAGAGTTTAATTGATCAGGAGAAGAAGGTATTGGTTTTGAGCACACACAACGTCCTTCGTTTTCGTGATTCTGTATACTATATTTTGTTGATATTCATATGGTATGTGTGAACACTAAAGCTGCAAATGTTGATATTCATCTGGTTTTGTTAAAGAAGCTTACTACTTTCAAGATTTATATCACATTATGATTGCTAAAAAAAAGTGTTAAAGCACTTTAAAAGGATTTTTTTAGTGTTCATCTGTTCGGTTTCAGTTCGATATTTTTTTTCTCAGATTCTCGTACACAGATTCAACATTTATATATTGTAATCCACTGATGATGTTGGTTTCAGTTGTGTAGTGGCACATTATTCACATTACTACAGACTACAGAGGGTCCTTGTGATATTTTCCTACGGACATAGTGTGGTTCATTAGCTATTGGAGTGTTCTCTAGTAGCTAAGGGAGAGCATTTTTTTTTTACCTGTACATGTCCATGGAATGGTTCCATGTCTGTGTCACTGGTTACTCCACCATCTGGTTCAACAAGAACCGTCTCTAAGAACTCTGCGAATTCAGCATCCGAGTCATTCGCTACAAATGCAGTTTGCAACGCATTGTAATCAACATATTCCTGCATTTGGAAGAAAAAATAAGTGCTGTTTTTGTTTTTCCAATGTCCAAGAAAATTTGGGGGAGGGGGAATCCAATACAGGAGCTTGAGTGCATAGATAAAAGCTCTTATGAAGCCCCTTGCAGCATTGCACCGGATATATACGAAGAAGCTCATCTCAGGAAATGAAAGCCTCACCTCTAGAATATCAATCATATCATGTGCTGGTGGATTTTCGAAATCAGATTCATTGTGAGTACTAGGCTCAACTTCATCACAGGTTGTTGCAACATCAGTATGAATCTCACCTGAATTTTTCACATTTTTCTTCAAGTGACAGAGAACGAAGTCCCTCTGCATATAATTAAGTTGGAAAACCAATTATGTAATGAAAGCAGAGGCAATAGAAAATCAAATGAGGTAACTTCTAACGCAAGCCGACATCTCTAAGTTTTGCATATTTACATAACAAACCAATTTGGCTCGAAGGTAGGGGTTTCGATTTCGAGCTATCTGTTGATTTCGGAACCAAATTTCTATAGCACAACATGTATATCATATTGTACAAAAAAGAAAGAGAATGATTACCTGGTTGGCATTAGGATGGGCTTTAGGGATATAATACTCATGCATGACCCAGTTGGTCTTGTCGGAATTGCGAACTTGACCTATGTAAAAGGTCAGAATCCTCTTTTTGCCGATGACGGTTCTTCTCCTGTCTCGAGTCCTGATGTCATGTTCTCTGCCTGTTATCTTCCAAAAGCCTACCTCTGTGGTCCTCTTGGTCTTTTTTTTTGGGGTGTACTCTGGTTGACTGAAGAAGAACCCGCTCTCATCGTCCGGCTTCATCAACGATTTCGCTGCATAGCATAAAACACAACATTTGGATCGGACCCAATTGAGTTTGAGACTGATTCAAATGCAAATTACAACAAGTGAAGTAAGAAAATTGAAGAACTGATATTGTTGATAATTACCAACTAAATCCCATGGCTCGAACTTGAGGATATCAATTTCATCAATGATGCCTTCCGCATGGAAATCCATGCCCTGCACCTTATTCTTCAAATAGTAGTCCACCAGCTCTTCATCTGTGGGACGAAATCTGAACCCCACTGGCAGCGTCAAGTCACCTCCTTCTGCTGCTGCTCTGCTGAAGCTGATCATCTCTGTCTGTCCTATATGAAGAGAGAATGTTACAATTTGTTGATTTGATTAATTCAACTATCTATATATGTTTCTGTCAAGTGTTGAGTTGTGAGAGGCAATTGGGAAATTGGAACGCTGGGTTTTTGAGATTAATGCGTTGGTTCTTCTTTTCTAATGATTAAAAACAACAGAACAGTACGGAATTGACTTCCAAGTCTTTGGCTTCCCCTGCGTACTGCTTTGCCTCTGCGGCTTACATGTCTTTGGAATTTTTGTCGTGGTATATGGTGGAGCCCACCCACTCACTCCCGCTCACGAGCAATTCTTTAGTATGACGGTGACATTGATGCTACTAAATACACTCATGTTATGTATGTATAATACAACAATCTTGTACGTATGACGTCAGTCCATCATTTAATAATCTTGTCGATCATCCAAATTAAACCTAGTAACATTATGTAATGATGTGATCGTGAAACCCTTAGTTTTGTATCTCTTTCTGTGCCAATATATATATATATATTTCTTTATTAATCACATCTTTTATTGAAATATGAGACCATTTTCTAGGTGGATTCTATTTAAATGAGCAATTTAATTAGAAAATGCTCTATGATTTTACTAAAACTAGGATTGGCGTACCTAATCTTCCTAGATTGCATGATTCTTTGATGCAACCACGGTCAAATTTAGACTGTTCTTCGGCA